GGGATTTATTGTGTACAGAACTCCCAATTACTGTCTCAGACAGCAATGGCTACTGACCGAGCCGGCGCTAGCGTTGATGGCGTCTATTAACGATTCACGCTCTTAGGCCTGACTGGACGTAGTCAACACTAGCCCTGACTTCGCCTGTGGCCACTGCTGCTTGAGACAACGACTCAGGGTTCTGTGCACAATAAATCCCCCCTTCTAGTGCCTTTTGCACATAATCCGGAATCTGGCCTGACGATTGTATGGCTACGAGCACGCTCACTGCTTAAACCCCCTTCAACCGATAACGAGCCCGTGGCTCAATGCTTAGGTTATTTTACTTCCAAACAACAAGTTTTGCGTATGGCTAGGTAATGACGGTTAACAAGCCTGGAGCCATCACTCTGGTCCGCCTTGTCTTTTTCGGTAATGTTATTAAGCCAACAGCATAGCCAGCAAAGAGAAGGGAGACTGGGATGACCGTATTTGGATCATTAGCCCACGTTGTCAGCCAGTCAGACTCACCCCTAAGTGGTGCACCACCCGAGGCTCAAAATCGCGACCTTTTTGATCGGAAGTCTAACACTCTTCGCATTGGGCCACGAGCTCGTTGTCTCTTTGTAGCCGGCCTCAATTATGTCCCGAATGTGCTTCTCCACGCGCGACGATCCGTGGCCGCAGACCTGGACAGTTCGACCCATTCTCTTTTCGAGTTGTGTGAACTGTTAGCACTTCCAAATCAACAGATTTAGCATTTTTTTCGAGGATGTGGGATTTTTAGTCGGAGGAGTTTCTGCAAAACTCGCGAACTAAACACCCCATGGGGCTTTTTTGGCGCAATGTCCAATGCCTTGCCTAATAAATCACATGTCACCACTTGAAATTAAGGCTTCATGTGGCCAGATTGTAATGATTACCTGCCCCTTTAAAGGTCAGTCGGATTATTTTTGTCGCAATATATTCGCGGTTTTATTTCGGTTGAAAAAAAAACAGTGCAATTTAAAAACTTGCAGCCATCTCGGTCAAAACGCACCCCCGGAATAAGCACGGAAATGCCGGTAGCTTAAAGGAGAGGGGGTGTCCCTTCCGACTACACCTTCAATTTCTTGCGTAACGCTGTGAAGTGGCGGAAACAGTCTCGAAGGAGGAGTAAAAAGAAAGAGACGACCTGTTGCGCAGGCAGCCGAACTGTGCTATATCGAGATCCCCTTTAAAAAATAAACCGCCAGTGGCAGACGTCATGAAAGGAACTACGTACCCTGGTAGATGAGATCAAAGGCGAGTTTTTTGGTCCGTTCGCCAGACCGAAGGACCCGCAGACGCTCCAGGAAGATGTTACCGTGGTAACAACTCGACGGCAGCTGCGACGGCGGTCTGCAAAGAAGGAAGACGCATGAAAATGATGGAGGGGAGGGAGAAAGGGAGGAGGAGGTAGAAGGAGGAGCAGAAGAGAGGAGGAACAGGAGGGAGAGGACAAGGGAGAGAAGCCGGAGAAGAAGAAGTAGAATAATAATCATAAT